AATAAGAGAATTTACTACTCTTTGGTAAAGATTGTTTTGAGTCTACAAGGTCAACGAATTTGTTCCAAAATTCGTCCCAATCTTCCTCATCTTTTCCTGAGAAAGTGGGTAAATTAATTGGAGGGAGTCGAGCTTCTGCTTGACTCGTATTAGATGCAACTGTTGTTGTTGTTGCCTTGTTCTGGCAATTAATTTGACATAAGGCTGTAATGTGGCCTGAGTCTGATCTTCATAATTCGCTAGATCAACCATAATGTCGCCTATTTCTGTTTCTGATAAATTGGTGTTGGCAAGTTCAGCCACATATGTTGCTATTTGGCATTTGATTTGCTCAAATTTACCTGCAGCTGCTTGATAATAGCTTTCCAGGTCAGTATAATCAACTTGAGATTGCTGTGACAAATCTTCACATTTCTTGATCTGTCTTGTTAAGTGGCCTTTAAGACCTGCAAGGGTTCTTTTCATTCTCCCTGCATTATCCATACTGGCTAGTTGGTGAAGCCTTGTGGGACTTGTACTTGGGCTGCTCATAATACTGAACAAGCACTGATGGTAGCCTAGGGTCAAATTCTGCACTCACTAGGCAATAATCCTACCTCTACTAGAGGTTAGCACTTAAAATTAATACACATTATATATATACAATCATACACACTAATGATTTGAGTGATAAACCAGTGTCACTGGAAGTACCTTTAGGTTAGCTCTTCTATATCACCCTAGGATGGTAGAGACACTAATTAATCACTCAAAGGTGTAATGATCATAAGTAATTTATTATATATACACAACTCAACTCGAGTTGACAAAATTTACACCCAAAATAGGGTTTGGACCATTCATTAATGGTGTTAGGTTGTTGAATATAGTACAACTGACTATGGTAATAATGGGACTAGGATGAGCAATAATAGTTCAACTAGTCAATGGTAAATATCCTACCCTGTTGTGGGTTGGCAATTAGTAAATATTATACTGTGATCACTAGTGCAATATATATTAAATAATTCTCTATTTTGGAGAAATAATATACACAATTATTGATAATAGCCTCTTAATTAGCCTCTATGAAACTTCTAATATTATCAAGAAGTATTAAATGTTATTAGTGACCTCGCGAAATAAAGTCCACAAAATTCGTGGATAATCTCTCGCGAAATTTAACACCACGAAATCCGTGAACAATCTCGCGACACAGTCACTAATTTGGCTGGCTTCTATATTAGCGCTGTCATTTCACAGAATAACACACCACCAAATCTGTGCGTGTGCATGAAACCGCTGACTAAGGCTGATCTGAACTGAGCGGGGCTCGTGAACTTCTACGAGTCAACGCCGCCGACTTTGACTGGCTTTGTTTAAATCACACTGCACTAGTTTATGTAATGAATCCACTGTTTAACTGGTTCATCCGGTACTAAGATGACCAAATGTGGGTTCAAAGGATCAAATAATCTGTCATCCGGTTCGAAGATGACCAAATAATGTGGGAACCGACCTGTGAGATTTATATTTATTTAATTTATATGAATATATATAGAATTTATATTTACATTAATTTATATACTTGGATAGCAATTTGTATAATGATAAGTGGACTGTATTTCTGCAATAATCTCATAATCTCACAAATCGATCCTCTACACATTAGGGGGGTTTATTAAATTTATATATATGCAGCCAATCTAACTACAGTATTAGACTACATACATTGAAGAGGTTCCTTATCTTATAGTACAGCAGGCCTTAAGTCCACCAGGTATAACTAGGATGTAGACACCAAATTATCCTCTTTGAGGTAGCTTCCATCACCCAGTAACTGGTGCACAAAGTCTTGCTTCCTCGTCTTGACCTGTCAAAAGGGCGCTAGCTGTGAAGCCAGAATCCTATATATGACAGGTATATCAGAGAAACACTGTACATGGAACAATAAAGACCTGGCTTAATTACCTTTAGTTTGAGGCTGCCTCGTGTTCTAACCGGATCACCCTATATCCTGACATTAATGGCAGTAAATGAATGATAAACGGGTTTCGGATAGACACTTAACTTGAATTTGTAGACAGCGTGTTGATAATGGTACACCTTTGGTTTCCATAACACTTCGTCCAAGTAAAATTAACAGGAGCCGAATTTGCTCCCGTGAGCCTCTGGTCTAGTATAAACAATGGCTGCCCCTCCTTCCTCACTGACGCCTGGCCTACATTGTCCAGATGTCAATAAGTGATAGAAGGGTCACATTTACTCTACTTTAATATTGATAATTAAGTTAATTTATATGAGATGTTTTTATGATGGTAAAGTCCAAAGACTAATGTATTTAAGAATAATTCCCAGCAGAATAGCTGGTGAATTATAATAGTATGTGGTGATGATATCCCGTTTTCTATAGACGGTAATTCCACTACAAGTTATGTTTTCTATGGGTTAACTTGTTTATACAACACAGCTATTATCTGTCTGTATGATATATTAAATGGTGTCGGATTTTCTGACACCATTTCAATTTAAGAGATAGTAAATTCCAGTTCGATTGGCGTTTGCAATCACCATCAACAAAACTCAGAGCCAATCTTTAGAATTGTGCAGTTTATGTGGGGAAATCTGACTCCAGTATAATACTAATAAAATTGAAATAGCTTGAAGGACCAGAATGAGTAATTAAATGAGAAAATCAGTGACATATAGATCTATGATGATATAAATAAATTCTATTAATTAAGCAATGACTGTAAATTAATGTAATTCTAGAACCAGCCTCCCATGACATATTTTGGGGGGTATTCTATAAGAATAATCTATGTGTAACATATATTATGCAATAAGAGTAATAAGTATAATATGCACACACTTAATAATAAGTGTAAATGAGTAAATAATGATAATGATAATGAGTAAATATATAGTGCAAGAAATACTACTGCAATGTGATGATTAATATGCATAAATGGCAGTATCGGATATATATATATATATGGACTCTGACAATGAAAACTGATTAAATCTCAACTGTGACAGAGAGACGTAGATGCAGTCCACTGTACGCCAGTCTGGGAACAGTTTGAGATAGTGATACTTGGCACACATGAGGGTATGGTGGTCACACGCTTCCTCAAGGGTGTCGCACTATGCTGCAATAATGATAATTCCGCAATTTCCACCCCAAACTAGTATTCACACACATATAAGGGAATATCTGAATATTTGGAGGGGAAAGAGCTGCACCTACATGGAATTTTTGGTACGCCCGCAGTGTGACGACATGGCTGCCTATATTAATCATATTTAAGAGCTCTATAAATATTAATAAAAGGTAAAATGCCTGCTGAATTAGTGTCCGTGATTCTGGCAAGCTGCGTCCTCAATCTGGCATCTAAGGATGTTCGGATGCCGTCTGGATGAGAAGATTTGTTGGACCGCTTACGGAACAGCTTCACGCTTCTTGTTGGTAATGGCAAGAGTCCTCTCTCCTCCTTCCCTGAAGCCGCGCATGCGCAATAGCTCGCCGTGAGGATTCGAGCATAAATTATATATATTTATTAAAGCTAAATAGGGAAGGGGCGTTTATGAACACTCTTGATGGTTTAGATAAATTCTTTGTGGTGATGTTTAATTAATTCTCACAGTGCACGTCAGTTAATGTAGACTGCACATATAACTTTGTGGTGGAAATAATTTTAGATTATGATGTTATTTACTGGAACAGCGATCAAGCTGGTTACAGGAATTCCAGTAAACTGTAGTATACTAAAAGTAAACCTATTACTAAATAATTATTCCTAATAAAGGAAAGTAAATGGTTACATCTGTGTTAGATCTACAGGTATGTGGAAATTTAGTCTCTATGAGTGGCTGATGCAATACTACACAATTCTAGGAGAAATTACATGATGTTCCACAACCTAATACAGTAAACTCAATAATACTTAACTACATATTAGTAGTGTTAGTTAATTATTACGCTTAATACAGGAAATACATCCTGTTGTATTAAGGATTAGTAAATGAATATTAGATGTGTATGAAGCCTAATACAGGAAATACATCCTGTTGTATTAGGGATGAAAATAACTGTTGGAAATTTCCAACAGTTTATATCTAGACATGGATTGCTTCTCAATGGACAATTATATGTTGAGTGTTCTAGAGTCGGCAAACCAGACAATCTCTATATCTCCACAGACAATGGAACAACAAAAACTGTTGTATACCCACAAGCATTGTGAAATTAAACATATTAGAAACGTGTGCTTTCTCTTTTCTTTCTTTCCCATTTAACCAGACTGAGCCACAGCAATGCGTGGCGGGTACTGGTATAGTATATATATATATATATACAGTGGCACCTCGATTAACGAGCGACTTTATTTACAAGCATTTTCAGTAACGAGCGAGCCACTCGCAGCAAATTTTTCTCTATTGATGAGCTTCACCTCTATTAACGAGCAAAACCACATGGTGCTTCCTAGTGTCTCACGGGTTCTCGCAAATTCTCGGACGCCTCCGACGATAGTGTTGTTGTTATATCGCACACGACAAGCATCCCTCTGGATTTATTTGCGCTTTTCTCTGTTTTTTTTTTGTGGTTTTGTGACTGCAATTTGTAACGCACGATGTCGCCAAAGAAGCTGCTTGCTAAAGACAGTGTTGGGAAGGGGAAGAAAGCGACAATTAACGTGGAAGTGAAGAAGGAAATCGTAGCAAAGCACGAGCATGGTGTGTGTGTGACTAATCTTGTCAGGTAAGGCAAGCTGTGGATGGCTTGAGAAATTTAGGAAGAGAAGCGGTATCCACTTGAAGGGATGTGCGACATGGGGAGGCTGCCAGCTCTGATAAAGCTGCTGCCGAGAAATTTGTACCAGAGTTCCAGGAATTTGTTGCTAAAGAGGAGTTCTTGCCCCAACAAGTTTTTAATTGTGACGAGACTGGCCTGTTTTGGAAGAAAATGACGAAGAGGACCTACATCACAGGAGGAACAATCTTTGCCTGGCCACAAACCGATGAAGGATCGGTTTACTCTCGTGCTCTGTGCCAATGCAAGTGGCAATTGCAAGGTCAAGCCGCTGCTGGTCTATCACTCAGAAAATCCACGCGTGTTCAAGGCATGTAAAGTGTACAAGGCGCGACTGAATGTGATGTGGAGGTCCAATAAGAAATCCTGGGTCACGTGGATATTCTTCACTGAATGGGTCAATGATGTTTTTGGCCCTTCAGTGAGGAAATATCTTGAAGAGAAGCAGTTGCCACTCAAGGCCTTGCTTGTGCTCGATAATGCTCCTGCACATCCTCCACAGATGCGAGAAGAATTGTATCCCAAAAATCAGTTCATCACCATCAAGTTCCTTCCTCCCAATACCACTCCACTCCTCCAACCTATGGACCAGAAAGTCATTGCAAACTTTAAGAAACTCTACATGAAGGCCTTATTGGAGAGGTGTGTTGATGTGATAGACAATACAGAGCTGACCCTCAAAGAATTCTGGAAGAACCACTTCAATATCCTGGGTGCCTTACGTTTGATCGATAAGGCCTGGGAAGGAGTGACACGAAGGACCCTAAACTCTGCATGGCGTAACCTGTGGCCTGAGGGAGTCCCTGAGCGAGACTTCAAAGTTTTCGGTCCTGCACGTGCATCTGCATCTGCACCTGTGGAAGACCCAGAAGTGCATCTAGTGGATGATATTGTTGCTCTGGGGCAAACTTTGGGTCTGGAGTTGGATGCTGCTGATGTGCAGGAGTTAGTGGATGAGCACAGTGAGGAACTGACCACTGAGGAACTCCTGGAACTTCAGAAGGAGCTTAATCAAGAGGAGGCACAAGAGCTCTCATCAAGGGAGGAGGAGGAGGTAGGGAAGAATGCTGCTGCCTCTTCAAGTGAGATCAGGGAACTGTTGGGAATGTTTGAAAAGGTGACCGCATTCTTAGAAAAACATCACCCTGATAAAGCAGTGACAACCTGATGTGTGAACATGTTTAATGACAATTTGCTGTCTCGTTTTAGGGACATCCTAAAACAAAGACAAAAGCAATTGTCAATAGATACATTCTTTGTAAAAGTAGAGAAAAGAAGAGCCAGTGATAGTGAACCACAACCCGGTCCCAGTGGGGTGAAATTCCCAAGAAGAGAGAGCCCGCCTGACTCAGAGGTGGAGTCTCCTTCCACATCATAACCCCTCTCCTCCTGCCCGCCTCCCCATTGTCTCCCTCAAGCCAGCAACAACTCTTCATAAGGTAAAGCAAACATGAAAACAGTACAACAAAACATTTATAATTACATGTGCAGTATTATATTTACATAAAAAAAATGTCATACAATATGGATATTATTGGGAGTGGAAAGGATTTAATTTATTTCCTTTATTTTAAATGGGGAAATTTGTTTCTTAAGACGAGTTTTCCACATAACGAGCTCGGTGCCAGAACGGATTAAACTCGTTAATAGAGGTGCCACTGTATATATATATATATATATATATATATATATATATATATATATATATATATATATATATATATATATATATATATATATATATATATATATAATATGTATATATATATATATATATATATATATAAAGATATATATATATATATCTAATATATAAATACAGAATATGCGGTCATATTCAATGAAACATGTTTGAAAGAAAACCTGCTGCCAGTATACACCAATATATATATATATATATATATATATATATATATATATATATATATATATATATATATATATATATATATATATATATATATATATAATAATAATAATAATAATAATAATAATAATAAAATATGCACTAACTTGCCTAAACTCGCAAGTGAAGTTAAACAACTTTAGACACCTACCCACCAGGAGACTTGAACCCTAGCCAGCACAGCTGCTTCACAACAACTTGCATAGCTGGTACGCCTTTAACCCACTACACCAAACTCAGACAAGATAAAAGGGAATTATTTTTCCAAAAAGGGATGGAAAAACTTTCCAAAAAGGGATGGAAATTTCGGGGTATTTTAACCCCCCAAATATCCCTACCCCCCAAGAGCACCAAAGCTAGTGAGAGGTCACTCATGTTTTTCATCAAATCCCTGTTAATATGGGAGAACGTACACTGTCTATGCTTTATGAGTCTCCTGGAGGGTAGGTCTCTAAAGTTGTTTAACTTCACTTGCGAGTTTAGGCAAGTTTATTTATTTATTTATATACAAGAAGGTACATTGGGTTTGTGAGAATACACAGCATAGTATTTACAATCTTGTAAAGCCACTAGTACGTGCAGCGTTTCGGGCAGGTCCTTAATCTAATAGATAATTTTAAGTAGGTAAATTCTAGCAGAATTAATAAAATGATAACAAATACATTGCAAGAAAAAAAATCAGATGAGAGAGATTAGTAAGTATATTAAACCACATTGGTATATTAAAGCTCTGACTGATTACATTGACAGCTTGATTGGTAATTTAAACAAGATTAATAGACACCATACAGCAGATTGACAGCACATATAAGAAGACAGCAATGATCACAATGGTAAAGATGTTCGGATTGGATACATAAGGATTGGGAGATTGGGTAGCAATAGATACAGTGCAATTTTAAAGCAAAAGGTAAAAAACTATGAAGATGAAATTCGGTACTTTTTAGTATTGTTTTTGAATGACGCAAAAGTTGGACAGCTTTTCAATTCAATAGGGAGTAAGTTCCATAGACTGGGTCCCTTTATTTGCATAGAGTGTTTACACAGATTAAGTTTGACTCTGGGGATATCAAAGAGATATTTATTTCTGGTGTGGTGATAATGGGTCGTATTACATCTGTCAAGGGAGAGTTTCAGAGCAAGATTTGCATTTAAGAACAGGGTTTTGTAAATATATTTGACACAAGAGATTGGAGTGAGATTATGTTTAGCATGTTTAGGGAGTTAAACAAGGGGGCTGAGTGTTGTCTGAAAGCAGAATTTGTTATTATTCTGATAGCAGATTTTTGCTGGAGGATGATGGACTTGAGGTGGTTTGCAGTGGTTGAACCCCCATGCACAGATACCATAATTAGGATAGGGAAAGATTAGTGCATAATATAGAGAGATGAGAGCAGAGTTAGGTACATAATATCTGATTTTGGAGAGTATACCAACTGTTTTAGAGACTTTCTTAGTTATGTGTTGTATGTGGGTACTGAAGTTGAGTTTCTTGTCAAGGAATAGGCAGAGAAACTTTCCGTCATTTTTATTGCTAATGTTTACATTGTCTATCTGAAGGTGAATTGCATTTGTAGATTTGCTTCCAAATAAGATGTAGTAGGTCTTTTCTATGTTAAGTGTTAGTTTGTTGGTTGACATCCATAAGTGGACTTTTTTTTAGTTCATTATTAACAACATTATTTAGTGTATGTGGGTTGGGGTTAGAGTAGATGAGGGTAGTATCATCAGCAAACAAAATAGGTTTCAGAATGTTAGAGACATTAGGCAGATCATTGATGCATATAAGAAATAGGAGAGGTCCTAAGATGCTGCCCTGTGGCACTCCAAAGGTTATTGGTAGAGTGGGAGAGGTTATATTATTGATGGCTACACATTGGTGTCTATCACTAAGATAGGATTGGATATAGTCCAGTGCATGGCCTCGGATTCCATAATGATGGAGTTTGCATAAGAGGTAATTGTGATTAACAGTATCAAAGGCCTTTCTCAGGTCAATGAAGAGTCCAATCGGAAACTCATTTTTGTCAAGGGCTGAGTAAATTATATCAAGGAGACTAATAATTGCATCATTGGTACTCTTTTGGGAGCGGAAGCCAAACTGACAGGGTCTAAGAATGTCGAATTTCCCGAGATAGGAGTAGAGCTGTTTGTAGATAATTTTTTCAACTATTTTTGATAGTATAGGTGGGTTTGATATTGGTCTATAATTGTTTATGTCTGCCGGATTACCTCCTTTATGAACTGGCATTACTCTTGCTTTTTTAAGGATATCAGGGAAGGTATGACACTCAAGGGATTTGTTGAACAGCAAAGCTGTAGGTGGTGCAAGGGCATGGGAGGCGCTCTTGTATACAATGGATGGGATTTCACTGATGTTCTTTGGTTTTTAGTGAGTGTATGATGGACACAACATCTGTCAGGCTGACTGATGAAAGGAGAAGATACTTTGGATAGCTGCCTGAGAGATATGTGTTGATATGTGTCTGAGTCTGGGATTTTACTGGCAAGGTTAGCACCAACGATGAAAAGATGCTATTAAATTCATGTGCCATTTCTAAATCAGTTGACAGTGTAAGGCCATCCTTAGAGAGTGTTATCTGGTTGTGGGAGTGTTGTTTAGTTCCTAGGATATTAGAGATGGTATTCCATGTGCTTTTCATGTTGCCTTTTGCTTCTTTGAATCTAGTCTCATAATATGAAAGTTTAGCTTTTCTTATGATACTGGTAAGCACTGATGAGTACCTTTTAACCCTTAACATGCTAGGGGTATAATATCCTTTCTTCCCCACAGGCGCATGCAATTTTGAAAAAAAAAAATATTTTTTCTTCCTAACCTGTTAATTTGTGTTCACTGGTCACGGAAAAGATAATATAAAAATCGTAAGTGGCATATATTGCCCGCTATAGAGCGGGGAAGTCTGGCAAATTATAGGCGCTGACTCAGCGTGCGTCCCAGGCGATCTGTTGCTCGCCAGCTGTCAGGCTGGAGTTGCCACAAAGAGATATTTACCTAATTATTTCAATGTCTCTGATTGATTTTTCATAGTTTTTTGCTGTAATATTATTCAATAGTGTGTAGTTTGATATATTTATACAAAAAAATGTGTGAATCATTGCTGTACTCAAAAATATGGTGTGCATATTGCTGATTCAATTATGTTCATCAATCAGTGAACAAATACTTTGTCGGTTATTACACTATAAGCACAGGTTATATACAAGTATCTGCATGTTTTGTTCACTATAACGAACCACTAAGTAGCTATTATGAGTCAAAAAGTAACGAGGAGTGACCGCCGTGTACCAGCCAGCCACTCCCGCCCTACCTCAAGTCATCTGACTCACCCACATTCTCCTCCCACAATACTGTGTTTGCTATAATTCACTATATACAGACGTTATATATAAGTATCTACATGTTTTGTTCACCATGACTGTACATCTAAGCTTGTATGGTGAGTAAAGGCACAAAGACGTAGGACCTCACACAGTCAGCTGATGGCTGCCGCCCTCAAGGCCAGACACACTAATATTTCTCCTCCAATAATACTGTGTGGTGTTATTACGTTATATATCTTATATACAGACGTTATATATAAGTATTTACATGTTTTGTTCACCATAACTGTACATCTAAGCTTGTATGGTGAGTAAAGGCACAAAGACATAGGACTTCACACAGTCAGCTGATGGCTGCCGCCCTCAAGGCCAGACACACTAATATTTCTCCTCCAACAATACTGTGTGGTGTTATTACGCTATATACACACATTATATATAAATATCTACCTGTTTTATTCACCATACATGTATAAATAAACTGGTATGGTGCCCAAAGACCATCCTGGTAACCAACAAACAACTCCGTCGTCTGCACGGTGGCGACGACGCCACCGCCCTCACCAAAATGGCGGCTCCAAACCTTCTCTTGTGGTTTATACCCTCTATACACACGTTATATATAAGTATGTACATTTGTGTTCACCATAGCGAACCACTAAGCTGGTATGGTGAGTGCAGTCAATAAAAGGTGGCAACACAGTCAGAAGACATCGCCATCCACCCTCCCTCCCACAGCATTACTCCTCCCTCTATGGAGCACAGTGCTAAATATCACCACAATCCTGCTATTATCAGAACCCTGGTCAGTTTTATCACAGTCAGGGGTCTTCTGTAATAATATCATCGCTACATAATAGTACGAACAA